AACTTTATCTTAACATAACTTTAACTTCTGATGACATAGCCTGATCTTACCACAAGTGTTACTGTGCCATCTACCTATAATGTATAGACATTATTACTATAGAAATCTATTTCTTCCAGAATTTGTTCTATTGTCATATATTTTACTTCACATCTGTTGTAGAACTGATACTATATTTTTATTGCATATGTTTAACCAGATGATTTTCTTTAAAGAGATAGTATATGTGCATGTTTGTATACACATTAACATAAACTATGTACATATATATTGTTGCTATTTCCAGTGTTTGTATTCACTTTTATAGATCTACCTTTCTAATTGGTATTGTCTTACATCTTCCTGATTGACTTCCTTTAACACTTCTTAGAGTGAAATCTTTTTTATGGTGGAAAGAATGTTTATTTTACCTTTATTTTTGAAAGATTTGTTTTTATTTTTCTGAATAAAGAGTTTTAGGTTTACAATGACTTCATTGTTCTTATTATTCACAACTGTTTTCTAGTATGCATTATTCTTTCAATGAATTTGTTTATATTCTTTTTTTTTGGGGGGGTACCATGGGTTGAACTCAAGGGTCCTTGATCACTGAGCCACATCCCTAACCTTATTTTGTATTTTATCAGAGACAGGGTCTCACTGAGTTGCTTAGCGTCTCACTAAATTGCTGAGGCTATCTTTGAACTCAAGATCCTCCTACCTCAGCTTCCTGAGCCACTGGGATGATAGGTGTGCACCACAGTGCTAGGCTTGTTTATATTCTTTTCTTTGTTTTTCTTCATGAAGCATTCCTCTTTTCTCACTTTGATTTTAGGATTTTCTTATCAATAGTTTAAAAGAATAGGACTCAAGTAAGTCTTGCCATCTTTTTCCACTATTTTAATATTTCAGCCTTATTGTCTTTCTTTAACCTATGGGTTTATATCTTTAATAACCTTTGAACATTTTTTTAATTATTATTCATCAGTTTTATTCCTCCAACTTTAGAGCATCACTTGCACATGTATTAGCCTCTTCAATTTTTACCACCACTCACTGATGCCTTGGCCATTTTCTGGTGGTGGTTGTATTCCTTTTTTGCTCTCCGTGCCTTATCTTATACAATTTACTCAAATCAATTTTTCTTCTGTAATATCTAATATGCTCCTAATTCTATCCAGTATATATATGTATATTTTTATCTTACACATCCTAGTTTTCACACCTCAAAATTTAATTCAGGCTGGGTGCAGTGGCACATGGCTATAATCCTAACAGCTCTGAAGGCTGAGGCAGGAGGATCAGAAGTTCAAAGCCAGCTTCAGCAATGGCCAGGCACTAAGCAACTCATTGAGACCCTGTCTCTAAATAAAATACAAAATATCGATCTGGGAATGTGGCTCAGTAGTTGAGTGCTTCCTAATTTAATACCGGGTACCAAAATTAAAAAAAAAAATTAATTCAAGCCTTTTTATATCTTCCATGATTCTACCTGACTATTAAAAATGTGAAATATATTTACAATAACTGTTATATTGTCCTTTTCTGCTAATCCTGATATCTGTGCCAGTATGGGTAAATTTTCTTTCTTATTTATTTATTTATTTATTTTTTATTGTTGGTTGTTCAAAACATTACATTGATTTTTTAATACTCAGTTTTAATTTCCTGATTATTTACTTGCCTGACATCTTATTAAATGGATGTCAAATAACATTTATACACACATATAACTCACGTGTACATATTCATATAATTATGCTTTGTTTTTACATACTGTAGGTTGAGATTTATTGGATCCTTCTGGATTGTGCTTTTAAGATTTATTAGGTAGAACCAGAGAATTATTTATTGTGAGGCTCTTTATTTTCTAAGATTTAGGAACAACACATCTGAGTCCTTAACATGTATATATTGAGATTTTTCCAGACTGGCTGTTGGGAATAGGCACTCTTCCTGTTTCTTTATAAATATCATAGTGCTTTTTCTGCCAACCCATCAGTGTGATATTTATTTATTTAATAATTATAACAAGTGAGCTTAACCACTGAGCCACACCTTCAGCCCTTTTTAAAGCTTAAATTTAAAAACAAAGTCTCTTTAAGTTGCTTAGGACTTCATAAAGTTGCCGAGGCTGGCCTTGAACTCACAACCCTCCCGCCTCAGCCTCCCAAGCTGCTGGGATTACAGTCTTGTGCCACTATGCCCAGCTTTTTGTGTGATTCTTTTCCCTAATTAAAGTAGTCTCCTTATGCACATGCCAAACATCTTCTACTCTGCTGAAGATCTCCACAGTTCTCTGTGTAGCTCCCTGCCCTTTATTATCATGTGCTTTGAACTCTAACTACCTGTTCTGCCTGGACTCTCAGCTCTGTCTTCTCAAATTTGAGTCCACCAGATTCTACATTGCTTCTACCTCCCAGTGTTGTGCCCTGCAAATTCTCAAGATTATTAAATTATGAGATAATTGTAGGACTCACCCTGTTTGCTTCCCATCTCTCAGGGCATAGGGACCTTCATTGTCTAATGTTCAGTACACTGACTATTACTGCTTCATGTAAGTTTTCTATTTTTTGTGTGTATCTCAGAAATGGTACAAATTGAGTGTGTTAACCCAACTAAGCTAGAAGAGTCTCTGATCTCTAAATTATAACTATCAAATTTCCCCTCTTGGTTTATGTCTTGGAGTCTTAACCCTTAGAGATTCCTTCAGTTCTCCAGACCTGCTCCTTTCAATCCTTTTAGGTTGGAATCCCAGTGTTCTGTCCCTTAAGATCTTATTTCACATTCTTCTTTTGCTTGTTTTCATTCCCTCCTATACCTTTTTCATTGGTCAGTAAAAACAGTTTTTAGGCCAGTCATAAACACATACTAGCCAGGTGTGGTGGTGCCTGCTTGTAACCTCAACAACTCAGGAGGTTGAGGCAGGAAGATCACAACTTCAAAGCCAGTCTCAGCAGCTTAGCAAGGCCCTCGAAACTTAGTCAGACTTTGTCTCAAAATTAAAAATGAAAAAAGGACTGGAGATGTGGCTCTGTGTTTAAGTGTCCCTGGGTTCAATTCCTGGTACAAAAAAACCCCATAAAACAAACAAGCAACAACAATGAAAACATACCCACACCAACACCCATACTAATAATCCTATTCTATCAAGCTTATGGACAATGGAGGCTAACATAGGATTTATTCCTTCCTTTTACAAAACTCT